CAATCAGACCAGCTGACAGCGCAGTGGCTCATATCTACAGTGATTTCTCTTCATATACAATGCTATTCTTCTGATGCGCTCACTACACTTGTGCCAGAAAAGCATTTAGTGCAGTTGTATCCTCATGCAAATCTATTTTTAGACATTTATTAGTCACTTTTAACCCTCGGTGCTGACAGTGTTTCCTCAGTGGTTTGTTGTGCTTTGATGTCATTTTAGCTCCATCCCTGTTTTGGTCCCAGCTCCATTTCTAGCGCAGGTCTCAGTGCTGAAATGGTTTTTGCTCTGAATAATTTAACACACTTAAAGGCAATTAGAACACCTTGTAGTGTGGAGTGTTTTCATTTGTAATTTATTTATTTTTCCGGCTGTGATACCTGCACTGTGACGTAAACCCTTACAGTAGATTGGATCATTTACATAATGTAGATTGGGTTCATTTATTGGCGATGATCTTCACCACGTGTCGGAAGCAGCGGCAGCAGCATCGTCTAACGAGATGGGTTGGATTCTCAGCAGCTCACAATTTAGGTCTTCTCCTCTGTTTCCATGGCAACACAATTACTGTGTCCTGGGTGTGGGAGGTTAGGGTGATAACACAAAGAGGTTAAAGTAATGTGAATGGTGGGCAGATGTTATGTCGAGGGGGCACAGAGAATAACAACAGGTTGTAGATGTTTGCTATGTCAAAGGGTTTTTTATTTATTTCAGCAAATTTGTAAAAAATAAAATGTAGAAACGTTGCAAGATTTTGCCATACATTCTGTTTTAAGCCACTATATCATTGCTCACAGATCACTGATGTATGTTATTGTATATATTCAAGATTATTAATGACGTTATTGTTATTATATTCAATGACTCACGGTACACTATGAAAACCCATTCAATGACTTATATCAGTGGAAAAAGAGAAGTGTAAAAGAAAGCAGTACATGCTGTAGGCATGCAGTTCATTTAAAAAAGCAACATTGCATTTACATTATGCAAAAAGCAGCATCTTTGTACTTTAGCCATGGGCTGCAATTGGCGATCAAAGAAGTAGTCAAACAACAAACACCCGAGAAAATAATATTTTCATTAATTGCTAAAAAGTATATACAGAAAGATAAAAGAAATGCAACCCAAGGTCTGAATACGAGATGGTCAAGTGGTTTTTCACATCGTCTTATCCTTCTTCACTCTGCTTCTCTTGTTGATGAAAAGGACTTTATTTCCTTCCGCTTAACTCAAGTGCATTTGAGAAATGAGTGTCTCTAATATTTAGCTTTTTGTCTTCAGCAGTTCATGAAGTGTTTAATCTTTGGTATAAGAAATGAACAAGTGCTATACAGGTGCTATAATAAATAAACGTATTAAGTATTTATGTTGACAATTGAAGCTGCTACAACATGATATGTACATGTGTTTCCTGTCGTAATGATATATAAATGAAATCACTTCTCCCACTGATAGCTTTGACTTATTTTGGCTCCTCAAAAATTAGGGATAGAAGTGACATTATTTAGATTATTATTTAAAAAAATCACTCACATATGCATCGACAAAAAAGAAAAACACAACACACATTTAGTTTAAAAATCAAAAGCAATGATAGACAAAAACAACATCACAATGTGATCTTAATGACATAAAATTCAATATATTCATTATTGTCTTTGTTTAAGTACTTTATTTATGACCTAAAGTCCCGTCTGGGGCAGATCTGAATCTTAAACTGTGACCATACAAACAGAATATAGCCCCCAACTCATCTGATGTCTTCCTCACATCAGTTAAAGCTTCACCTCTGTCCCTGTGCTTTGTTTTATTGGCGGTGTGTGTTGCTCTCTTTAACAATCTCAGTCTCCTCAGTGCTGCAGGTGTACAGAAATATCTCTCGCTCTAACCTTTCCCTTTATGCATGTACCTCCAGGGGCTCTCATTTCAAGTTTGACTTTTATTTTGACTTTTATTTTTTTTCAAGTTTGACTTTTATTTTACCAGAAATGTAAAACTTTGTAAAGTGAGACGCCCCCGGGGAGGCAATGATGCCAACATGCAACATGGCTGTTAGGCGTTGGTTGCAGAGAGGAGTCAAGGAAATGATTGAAGTAATTTAAAGTAAAACTACAGGAAATGGATGAATCAGAGTCGACGTGTGCATGGAGATATGTGTGTGCCTTTCTGTCTGTCTGTGTGTGTGTGTCTGTCTGTCTGTGTGTGTGTGTGTGTGTGTGTCTGTGTGTGTGTGTGTGTGTGTGTGTGTGTGTGTGTGTGTGTGTGTGTGTGTGTGTGTGTGTGTGTGTGTCTGTCTGTCTGTGTGTGTGTCTGTGTGTGTGTCTGTCTGTCTGTCTGTCTGTCTGTCTGTCTGTCTGTCTGTCTGTCTGTCTGTCTGTCTGTCTGTCTGTCTGTCTGTCTGTCTGTCTGTCTGTCTGTGTGTNAGGGAGTTCCACAGGGCTCTATTTTGGGGCCCTTGCTCTTTTTATTATATGTAAACAATATTTGTAATCAGATGCAATTTTTTACCTATCATACGTATGCTGATGACACTATTGTATATTCATGTGCTCCTTCTCTGGATATGGCCGTTTCCAATTTAAAATCTGATTTATCACGCTGCAGCATGCACTTCTTGATTCCAAACTGCTATTGAACGTCAGCGTCCTCTTGCCTCTCCATTGACACCCTTGATGGCGTCTCTGTTGAGTTTGTCGATACCTACAAATATCTGGGCTTTTGGTTGGACAGTAATCTGAACTTCAAACACCATATTGAAGTTCTAACAAAGAAACTGAAATTCACTCTTTGCTTCCTTTTCAGATTTAAATGTTGTTTTTCAACTTCATCCCATAAAAGGTTGGTCTCTGCCTTATTCCTGTCCCAGCTGGACTATGGTGATACCATTTATAGATTTGCCTGTCCCACTGTTTTGGCCAAACTTGACCCACTCTACCATGCTGCACTGCGTTATATATCAAATGCAGCCTATAGGACTCATCATTGGCAAACTGTATAAGCCTAACTGGATGTCCTCCTTTAGTATGCGTAGGGTGCAGCATTGGTTTTTATTATTGTATAAAGCCATTTTAGGAAAGCTTCCACTGTACACATGTGCCAGATTTGCTCCAGTTTGTGACTCTTACAACGTCACATGAAGTGCCTGGATACAGTTCCAGGTACCTGCCGTGCGGACTGAGGCTGGAAAAAGGAGTCTTTTTTTTTTATTATGGTCCTTGGTCTTGGAGTGACCTTCAATCAAGCCTCAAACTGACGGCACTTGTCTCAATAGCATGTTTTAAATTGAAGTTGTCTGAAGTCCTTACCAACAGCTGCTCTTGCAGTAATAAGTAGTGCACCTTTCTTACTGTCCCAAATGTGCACAATGTAGTGACTGCTTTTCGTCTTTTGTTTACTTAGTTGTGTTCTCTGTATTTTATATGTCTGTGTTATGTATAACATTGCTGCCTTCTTGGCCAGGTCAGCATTGTAAATGAGATTTTAGCTCAATGCTTTTTATCTGGTTGAATAAAGGTTAAATAAATACTTTAAAACAGCTGTTATCAAATCTCTGTTAAAGAAACCAAACTTTGATATTATTTTACTAACAAGCTATAAACCAATATCCAACCTTCCATTCATCAGTAAAATAGTTGAAAAGATAGTATCAGAGAAAATAAATTCATTTTTGAGAGGAAACAACATCCTTGAAGTTTTAGAAGATACCACAGCACTGAGACTGCCCTTATTAAAATAGTCAGTGCCCTCTGACTGAACTGTAATAAAAAAAATAGGATCTCAATTATTATCCTATTGGATCTCAGTGCAGCTTTCGACACAATTGAGCACGACATCCTCATCAATAGTCTCGAAAAGTGGGTTGGTCTTTCTGGCTGTGTCTTAAACTGGTTTAGAACAAACATCAAAGGGAGAACGTTTTATGTCAGCCTGGGAAATCATGTGTCGGAAGAACACGACAGCTATTATGGGGTTCCACAAGGGAGCTGCCTTGGTCTGTTTTCTTTATATATGCTACCACTTGGTGACCTGATCAGAAAACACAATGCGGATGAGATACACAACTGTATATATCGGCAGAACCTAATTACACTGCAGCTATTACCTCCATCACCAACTGCCTCTTGGCGATAGATGGATGAGTAGTAACTTCCTAAAGCTGAATGAGGACAAAACTGAAATCCTGCTAGTCGGCCCCAAAGCAAAAAGAGATAGTTGTTTAATAATCTCGGGATATTTACTAACCGGATCAAACCGGAGGTCACGAGTCTTGGTGTTATATTAGATTCAGATCTAAGCTTCAGCTCTAACATTAGCAAAGTGACAAAAACATTGTTCTTTCACCTTAGAAACATTGTTAAAGTAAGACCATTCATAAATCAAAACTACGCAGAGAAGCTAATACATGCCTTCGTCTCAAGCCGGATAGACTACTGTAATGCACTTTCACTGACCTCCCGAAAAAACTACTGACAGACTTCAGCTCATCCAAAACGCTGCAGCTCGGAACTAAGAGGAGAGAACACATTAGTCCAGTTCTAGCCGCTCTGCACTGGCTTCCTGTTTACTTTAGGATTGATTTTAAGGTTCTCCTCCTGACATAAGGCCATTATTGGGCAAGGTCCAAGCTTTTTCAGCATTACATGCTGAGAAATTTAGTTTAAACGTGCTTTGATTTCCTGGCAATTTGATCCTAATCTATTGCTGCATGTGTGAAAACAAACCTGCACCCGTGACATTTGGTTCAACAATTATAACATCCCCGTATATAAAAGACAACAGTTGATTCAGTCATTCTGTATATTATACTATATTTCTACCGAGATTACATACGAGATATTTCACTCACAACGATGTGACGATTGAAAAACTGCTTCAAGTGCTATATAACAAATGTCTTTGTTTGGTCACACACCCGCACATTATAAAACATTTGGCTCAATAAACACATAAGCCAAAAGCTCATAATGTCAAATTAATAATCTAAATAAAGATTAAAAAAATTCCACATGAATGACAGTATCATTTTATTACAGTATAAGTCTATGTAAAACAAAGACAAGATAAATAAGGTTCACAATTTACATGTATTTTAATGTCCTTAACCTTTAAACTAAAACATGTTCAAAAGTAGAACGAGGAATCTGGTTCTGTAACTCGCAATTTAACTGAGATTTCCCCTTCAGTTCAGAACCGCTGTCTGATGGGTGAAACTAAAGAAGTGAATGATCTCAAATCAGAGACTTTCTTCTCTCTCACACAACCAAGTGACGTGAACATGTGCCACCATTTTCCCCACACAACAAAGCGAATGGATGCTATTGAGCTACTTTAGGTAAAAAACAATAATCGAGGCTGTAATCATAACGTCTAAACAGCCTGATGGTCAGCGACGGGCTGAACGCCTGCATGGTCCCAGAGTAAATAAAGGTGTGTCGGCAGCACTCAGAATAATGCAAATAACATCCAACAACAAAGGGTGAGTCAGGTGAACAGGAGATTCTCCTCTTCAGGTGATGACTGTTAAAAAGTAATACATAAGGATATGAATAAAAAGCCCCACACCTGTTCTCTTTATCTCTCTTATGAAGATAAACTCATGAGATGTGACAGGGAATGTTTCATTGATTAAGAATCGGACAAAAAGCTCAGTGACTTTAAAATTGTGAGCTTTTAATACTTTTGTCTGATTCTTTCTTAGCTTGATTTTGGATCCAGCACCTGTTTCTTTGTTATGCGTACTCTACAACCTGTGAATAATAACCTTTGACAACATCTCAAATCTGCTGCCTCAACAAAGCACACGCACCTATATTAAGACTCTTAATGAATACGCAAATTGTGTTCCCAGTAGATTTGTTTAAAACTACATTGAAACTTCCATGTAGTGCTTCAAGGTAAAACTGACTGACTTTTGGTAGCAGGTAAGAGGCACTGAGCAAACACCCGTATATGTAAAGGTAGGGTTGGGTTCAATTCCACACGTAGAGCAGGACTCTGCACATTTAAAATGAACTGTGGGGGGGCATTAGTGTGGGGGAAAAGTCTCAATAGTTCATCACATTAAGCATATATTTAGAGCAGCAATCAAACGTGATGATTGTAGGTCCACACCTGCGCGTCAGCTTCAGTCTGGTGTCACATGATGCTGAGCGCTGTCGGTGGCTTGTCAGAACTCCCGATTGAAACTTTATTTAGAAAAGTCGATGATTCTCACTGCAGCAGTTCTTCCCAGGAAATGGGTTTGGAGAAGACTTCCCGCTCCAGCCACAGGTCATAGTTCATCTGGAAGTCCTCAGGCAGGTCCACCCGCTGTCCCAGGACGCTCTGCAGACAGTTGTCCACAGGCAGGAAGTCCGGGTTGCTTTGGCTGTTGTCGTAGCGGCGACTGTTGAAGCGTTCGATGTTCGCACGCAGAGCACACTCCTCGGCCTGGAAGTCCCAAGGTCGAGCATCCAGATCTGATCACAGAGAACAAAAAGCAGTTCATATTGGGTGCATTTTGCTTTGAGTGGAAATATAACCCCTTAGTTTCATTAAAGAAGGATTAGAGACCCACAGCCAACAGAAGCCTGAAACCTATACAGTAACACAGGCTAATGAGTGCAAATGTATTCCTTTTTGGATAATATCATATGTGGAATCAAATCTTAACAAATAAACTACTATTGGAGCCTGCACTTTTTATTCTGGGTATTTATCTTCCTATATCTTAGACATCCGACATAACAAGCAAAACTAAAATGTGCAAATATGAATGTGCCAGGATCAGAAAGTGGATTAAAGAACTGGTATCAAAAATGGATAAGATAACATTTATTGTTACATGTACTCAAAATGTTTTTGATTCAACCTTCCTAAATGTTCCCACACCACACCACACTATGCCGCTCCCTTCACTGGCTTCCAGTAACTGCTAGAATCCACTTCAAGACACTGGTACTTGCGTACCATGCTGTGAATGGATCTGGCCCTTCCTACATCCAGGACATGGTTAAACCGTACACCCCAGCACGTGCACTCCGCTCTGCATCAGCCAAACAGCTCGCTGCACCCGCACTGCGAGGGGGACCCAAGTTCCCATCAGCAAAAACTCGTGGGTTTGCTATCCTGGCTCCAAAATGGTGGAATGAGCTCCCCATTGAAATCAGGACAGCAGAAAGCTTACACATCTTCCGGCGCAGACTGAAAACTCATCTCTTTCGACTCCACTTTGAGCGATAGAATTACTAACAAAGAACTGCTAACAGAGCACTTATATACTAATAAAGGACTGGCTTATCTAAAGCCAGTTGAGTAGCACTTGATATGTTTGGCTCTATGAAACCTGATGTACTGATATGATTCTGTTTTCTTCAAGGTTGTATCTTCCTGGTCGAATGCATTTATTGGAAGTTGCTTTTGATAAAAGCATCAGCTAAATGCAATGTAATGCTGTGTTTTATATAATCGTTATTCACAGAACACAAAAGCTTTAAAATAATTATCTGAATATCGAGTAATCAATTAACCTACTAATTGTGTCAGCTCTAATAAAGACCAAATACACTTCACAACAATAACACTTGCATTTTTGTTATATCCCAGCATAAACTTTCATTCATGCTGCATTGAATGAATTCCCACTGGTTGTATGATTGTGATTCCACTCACCGTTCCCGTAGGCCCAGTCGTCGTTGAGCCGATGTCGGACCTTCTGATAAATGGCCGACATGGTCTTCATGTTGCTCTTCCTCCACTGACGGCCCAGGTATTTGGTCTGCACTTTGAGCAGCTTGAGGACGTAAAGCTGCATCATGGCCTGCTTCACCTTCAGCGCCCTCTTCAGGATGGGAGCGGACTTGAACACCACCAGCATCTGAGAGGGCAAAGATGAATGTTTATACATGGATTTGTTTATATTTCTGATGAAACCCGTCCTCTTCAATGTTATTTGTGGAGGATTGCTCCCACCATTGTTCTGGAGTGCTTCCACTTGGTCAGTTTGTTGAGGATCCTCAGCAGGTTGATGCAGGAGAACAGATTCCTCCAGCAAAACTGATTGTTGTCTCCTCCTTCCTGTAAAAGACCAAATTTCAACATTAAAAATGACTTCAGGGCTAGATTTGACATCAGCAGAAACAACCCAAAACACTGTATAATCAGAAGGCAACGATTACAAAACAATGGAAAACTCACCAAACTCTCTGCGGTTAACTCGGGCAGCTCGTTCACCACGCAATGAGGAAAGTCAAGTACTGAAATGCTAATGGAGAAAAACATTGAGTCATGAAACAACGAACATTTCAATACTCTTGCAATGAGATGAGATGTCCTGAAAGTACCTGTTTTTGGCCGTGATGTACGACATGATGTTCTGGTTGAAGAACTTGAGAATGAGGGGGATGCAGTTGGCAAACACGAGATGTTGAGCCATGTACTCAAACTGTGAGATAAAATACAAAGACATGTTCAGCTCATGATATTTAGTCATATCCTTATTTCAAGTAACATATACAAGAATGAGATCAATGGTTGGCAAATATCTAACACAGCTCACTCGAGTCATTCTGACCTTCAACTTAGGAGGTGTGTGCTTAGTTACATAATAACCATCACAGAAATGTATTGTGAGGAATGTCATGATTCCCGAAACAACTTTAAAAAAGGGTGAGAAAAAGCGAATACATGTACGTGTTCTCATTAACTAGTGCTGTGTTTACCTGGTAGATGTGGTTTAGTTTGAAGTGTTTGAGGAGCAGCAGCAGGATGGCAGAGATGGCCTTCACGATGATCTCTTTGTGTCGATTGACATCAACACCGAGTTTCATGCTCTGCAGCACTGTGGTCCTGCAGAGTCAGACATTACACATCAATCACAGATTTAGTTTAACTCTGATCCTCAGAGAAAATAAAATATCATTAAAAAAAATCTGAAACTCAGACAACCTCAAGCCTGTTAACCAGAGTTTGGACTAAATAACCTTTAATCTGTATGCCTGCAATGTGAAGTTACACCAATTTTCCATTTTAGACACATCTCATTTTAAATTGTTAATAAACGTATTGTATTTTACTTGTCCCACTAGAATGGATATTGCTATTGCTGTTTAAGGTTTTGAAGAGGCCTTGCGTCACTTACGGCATCTCCTCCGGCAGCACGTCTGCCAGGATGTTGATGGAGTCCGTCTTGGCTTTGGAGGTCGGAGCTGCAGCGAGGAGGATCTTTAGCAGAGCGATCTGACATTCAGAGAGACAGAACAGGAAGTGAGTAACAGTCAGTGATGGTTGATTTATACCATAAAAAGAGTAATGATATAATGTATCTAATGCTCTTAGAACTACAAAATGTTGCATTTATGTCAACTTCACAGTGTCTGAAGGGCCTTACATGCAAAACATTATATTAGACTCAACTAAATAAAGGTTACAACCTATTATTTACACAAAAGGGTCTTAAGGCTAACATTCCTTTTTGTTATTTGCACGGAACTGAAAGCCACTGAAATATTCTATAACCTTTTCTTCACAGGAGAATTAGCACAGTGTATACCGGAGCCCACTAACCATGTATTGAGGCAAACTGGGCAGAATTCCTTGATAGAGCAGCTCAATGGAGGACATCTCCACGTCTTCTTCACCCTGATAAGAATAGAAACAAAACAAACAAAATGTACATCACCATGACACCTCGAGAAAGATTGTTTTGCAGACACAAGACCCTAAAACCTCTGCTATCGTCAATTATTAATTACCGACAGAAACAGCTCACAATTGTTACCTTACCTTATTTTTCAGATATGGTATGCATTTGACAAACATTTCATTATTGATTAATCTGTCAATTATATTTTAGATGTATCGATTAGTCAGTTAAATATGAAAAATATTGAAAACTGTCAGTACCCATTTCTTAAAGTCAAACGTGATTCCTTAACTATTAACGCCCCTGTGTCTACTTACCCCAGACAGAGGGGTTTTCTGAAACTCCTCCTCCTTTGCAATCTGTATCTCAGCAATGGAGATGTACTTGTGCTGAAAAAAGATGAGGAATCGACGTGAGAATCTAGCAGCACTATTGACTTTAAGGGTATACCCTCTAGAAGTAAAAAGATGTTGTGAAATGGCTAATTCAATACCTGCTTTAACGTCCTTATGCTCTCATGGATTGGCCGGGGTAAACCAACGACTGTATCTGTATCACTGTGAGACATGCACAAAAAAAACATCAGCACACACCACACAGTCAAAGTGTGAAATATTAGACTTAAGTTGCTTTCGAAAACATACTTCCCAAGTGTGTAACCTATGAATTTACTTCTACTTGATTCCAGGAAATTCTCAATGTCCTTTTCCCTGTGGGAGAGAAACACAATAAAATCATAACAGAACCTCAATCTTTATAATCTTCTTACTAGATTTGTGGACAAGAGAAACGGATCCACCGGTACCTGACTTTAGGAGCCCATGGCAGTCCTTTGGGGAAAGACACCCTCTCTGATGGAGGTTGAGGAATAGGCGGAGGCATCACCTCGTCCCTCTCCAGAGGGAAAGTCTCCGGCTCTATAGAGTTATCATTGTCATCGTTGTCGTCCTCATCCTCACGTGAGTCATCTGCCTTGTAAGGATCCTTCTCGTTGAATGCGTCAAGGTTGTCTTGTTTGATCAACGACTGTGTATAAATTAGAATATCTTTATTAGTCCAACCGGGGGGGAAATGTACATCGTTACAGCTCAAATATAGAGGCAGAAATAGGAACATTTAAAAAAAGAGGCAGGCACACAATATTAAAGATAGAAATACACAAAATACAAGTACACATCCAGGTGGATAGCAATAAGTAGCAGTATTTAAAAATAAAATGTTTGTAGGATGTACAAAGTAGTGTGATAGCAGCCAGATAAGGGCTGCTCGATTATGGCAAAAATCATAATCACGATTATTTGGGTCAATAACTGTAATTGCGATTATTCATTGACTTTGAAAACATCCATTTATTGGAGAAAAAAAATATTATTTAGATTACGTTGTTTTCGTAATCGTTGCAAGCCATAATCGTAATCGCGATTAAAATAAGATTAATTGAGCAGCCCTAAGCCAGATAACATTAGTGAAAGTAAAAGTATTTATTGCACAAGATTATTTACAGATTTTGTAAATAACTTTGTCCAATATATACTTTTACTTTGGTGAAAGATTTTCCAAAACCCCTGATCTATATAATCAAGGCAACGACACATTTCACATGCACCTTCTTTGAACCCACACTATGTTTGTTTTGAGAGCCGGGAGCAGCAGTAATGTCTACCTTGTGTTCGCGGCGCGCCCGTTTCTGCTGCTGCTCGATGAGGTCGGACGCAGACGCAGGAGGAGAAGCGGCCCTCATGCTGCGGATCACTCGGATGCTGTTCTCCGGGAGAGGGGGGAGACCCAGCTCCTCACGCTTTTGAACCTTTATGCTTTGGAGCTGCTCAAACCCTCCGAGTGTGAACTGAAACAGGGGACAATCATTCAACATGTTTCCTGATTAGAGGTAATAGGTTTTTGTTGTGAGGTCATGTGGGAGCAAAACCGTGTCTCACCAGGATGCTCTTCCACAACAGCAACAACACCTTCTTCATTGGGAAGTGAGGGGCATGACCGCTGCAGAACTTGGTAACCATACCGAAGAGCATGACGGAAATCGGCTCGTTGTTGTACAGAGGAGCTCCTGGATTAGAGGAGTGGAGTTAAAATAGTTCACCTTGCATGTTTTGTTTCAAATCGGTGACATGACTGCAGGTTTTTACGTCCATAAAACTCACCTAGTTCTGCTCTGAAGGTTTCCCGGATGACTTTCCACTCAGGCTTGTCGGCAGGATCATCCTGTTGTATGGTTTCCACCATCAGGTACATTATGTTGAGCAGCACTCTGAGATCTGTGCTGTCAGCCAGGGAGATGGCTGGTTTCCTCACCGCATTACTACAGGCAGCGCTGTTACTGAAAGGGAGAATATAAGTGTTTTAAACTCTTCTCCAGATAGATCATTTTACAACAGAAGATCTAGTCACTTCTAGCCTTGCAAAGCCAACACAGTGTGCTTTAGTGTTGCTCACTGGCAACACTAAAGCTGATTGTTCTAACCTACAAGGAGTTAGCACTTTTTATAAAAGGAGATGATTCCTTGTAGATAAAGAAGGCAAAACTAAATTAGGATAGCCTCTGCATGATTGATAACGTACTCAATCTCCATGTTGAGCAGCTCCACCAGAGCAGAGAAGGTCCCCATATCCAGCAGCAGAAAGATGTTGTATCTCATCCAGTGCTGCACCTCAGCCTCAGAGCTGCACTCTGCAAAGGTTCCTAGAGAGAATAAAATGCAACGGTGAAACACATATATTTTGAGAAAAACTAAACTAAATGTTCTGATCAATTTGAATTTGAATTAAATCAATATGAATTAATACTAAGAAGGTGTTAAGGGATGTGTGGACTGACCCTGAGCCATGTAAAGAATGGCTCTGGCGACCTTCAGCCTCTTCTCTCGAGCGATCATCTCCAGCCCGTCCAGCAGGCGCATGGCGTGAGCTCTCTGCTGAGATTCATCCAGCTCCGTCCACCTCTTATCAGAAACTAAGAAACAAAAGAGGTGGAGATAATTAACTTCACACATATGCCTTCTTCATTTTACATAATAAATGATTTGCTGTAATGTCATTAAGATGTGTTGTAAGTTGAACTCCATACCATGTGTTCTGAATTCGACCTCAAAGCACTGCCTATTGAGAGAAAACTCCGGTCCTTCGGTGTAACTGTACAGCTCTGAAACGTTCACAAAGAATATGTAAATAAGACAAAATATGTTTCAAGAGTGAAGAGCAGGAGAGCAAAAAAACAATGTCAGGTCATCTCAATGTCCGTAATGACTACCCACCTGACAGCTCAGCAGCCCACTTGTCTGTATCGGCATATTCAAACTCAAGGTCTGGAGACTCCGACAGCCCCTATGCACCAAACATGGTATATATGTTTTTGTTAACTGGCAGAATGGCAAGTAAATATTCATTTTTTATTAACCACTAAATACATAAACGTTGTTCTTTGGCTGTTTAGTTAAGAACAACTGTGAGCCACTTCAACTACCTCTGACCATAGAAATCAATACATGTTTATTGTACTACAATAAATAGTGTGTCTATAATATAAAGTAAATTCAATTCAACAGAAAGAAGGGTTAACCATTAAAGACTTTAGGTATTACAAAGAATAGTCCAAAACTATTATATGCAAAACAATAAAAGGGGCCTTTTGATTACTTCATTCATTCTAGTTTACCGATACAAACAAATGTATATTTTCACCAACATTATAAATCCAAACCGTTTATTTGTAATCTGTATTTTACATTGAAGCATTTTTACAAAAAGAAAGAACAATTTGTTTCAACCCTGTTAGAAAGTATGTATTTCACAGGAGCTGTTGATCATGTATCAATTAGATGTCACAAAGAGAAACTCCTCTCAATCATATTTACAATGGTTGAATCTGTAATGCTAACATTTTATTTATTTTCTGAATATTCACAAGATTACAAGATGTCAACGCATGAAAACAAGAAGTCTAGAAGTGGTTTTCTCGCAGTTAAATGCAGCAATGTATCCACTATGGGGCAAGGGAGCACTGACTAACTTGGTTTTCTTTATAGGTACACGCTTACAGGAGGGCTCCATGGTTTTAAATCACATGAACACAACAGGCCGCAGACAGAATAAGCCTCAACAGGTCGCCGTTGACAGACAGCCCAGTCTGGCCTGGTACTAGCTAACATCAGCTAGCTAGCCCCTGCTAAGCTACACTACTATTCAACATTGCATAAATTAAGCTACAAAGGGAATATTGCACAAACATAGGCATATTATTTCAAAGATGTTAAAAGCCTCAGTTGCTGCTGTTAGTTTGTGTCTCCGTGTCAGAACAAACAGTAAAGCTAGCCTGACAGAGCTAACTAAGCTAACGTTATGTGGTACAGAAGCAGCAGCAGCCTCGTCTCTAAATGATTAGTTTGCTGTAAATAAAAAAAAACAGTTATTTTTACGTACCTCTGAATCTTTTCTTGGGTTTCGGGTGAACTCGCCCCTGCTTTTGTTCGGTAACATAGCTCTCTGTTTATTGTTTACAGGAAGCCCACTACTGTTCCCACCGACGTCCATTATATTTGGGGCGCAGTGTCTTCTCGCGAGATGACTGAGTCGATCTACGAGAGTTGGAATTTACATTCTGTTGTGTCATATTTAATTCAATCTCTATGTAACCTGTACACTCTTTGGCGTAACTACCGCTTAAAAGGGGAGGGGGATATGATCTGCCCTTTGTTCTATGTGTGATTTCATTATTGTGATTATATGTTCTTGCATTTATTGATGTCCTTTAGGTTCTCCAACCTGTTGCATTAAATCAATCCATATTTAATCCAACATTTGCACTCTAGTGCCCCGTTGCACTAATGTCTTACTGTTTGTGTTGTTGTATTATTTATACAATACAATACATACATCTGTTTACATAGATTTATAAACGTACATGTATGTGTTTTTGTTTTAGCTGTACTATATTCATTTATGTGTGTGTACGTCCAGGGTTCGAGTTATGTGGGAGCCAATGGGAGCTGGAGGGTCTGAGCTCCCACGGACGCAGTGAAATGATACATCTGTGGGGGTCGCTAGTACATTACCAACAACCATTATTTTAATCACAAATAAGGCATGTGTCAATGTAATGAGTATTACTTACGTTAACGAGGTAAATAGGCAATAGTACAATGAAGACAAAAATAAATTGAAAGTGAAGTTTCTTTTATATGTACACACCTACAAAGAGTGCATTTTCGGGGACTTCTGGGCGTCGAAGACTGTTATCGAGCGATAATTGTATGTAATACTTAGTTATAAGTGTGACATGTCGTTTAAAGGCAATGCATTTGACCTGAGTGGGTCTGTGAAATGATGCATCAGACATTTTCAAATTTAACAGCAGTTTATTAAAGGGAACTGTGCACAGAAATGTAATATGTTGCCTACTGCCGGAATGAGGTTCTTTAAACTGAGCAACAGATAGTGATGAGAACATAGGCCAACTTCAAAGCTAATCATTTACAGCGCTTCGTCTCCACATTAAAAACGTCAAACCGGCAACAATGTACTGTCAAATCACAGTTGTACACTTTCTTTTTATTTCGACTTTGAATCAAGCTTTTGCTATAGTAATAACACATTCATTTGTCTCTATAACGGAGATACAACTATGTTAAAATGATTGTTATTAGCTAAACAAAAGGAATACATTAATAAAGTCATTTTTAAGTGCTATTATGAAAAGACCACTAAATGTGTTTTTGCCTGATTGTTAAAAGATATGAAACATACATCAAAATACAACAGAGTATAAAATGTTGCCCACTAATGTCTAAAATGAGTTGTCGTCTTGAGTAATGCATAATATTTGAGTAAAATACCTTTGACAGAATAAAACTGAGTATGTTTTGCTGCATAGCTATCACTGTATAATTCTGAAAAACAAATGTTGGGCACATTACTATACTGAGAAAAACACGTACATGTCTGAATATAAATTACTAAGTGAGTCACAAGGCAATGTCAAATGACCAGTAACCATGGTTACAGGCAGCGCTCATCTTGCTGACAATAGAGGTTTCTCAATACTCTAATTTCCCTTCCTCAACTCCTCGGTTCCCCTCCTCAGTCCTCCGCTCGCATCTCCTGTGGGCTCCTCTCGCGGATAGGAGTCGAGGAGGGGAAATTAGAGTATTGAGAAACCTCTAATGTCCTCACTGAGTGTCCTCAGCTCGATGCTTTAAAGCTGCTAGTGCAAAGATTAAGCACTTCATATTAGCATCCTTTGAGATACTAAAGCATTAGAGGAAAACCCTTTGTATTTCAATGACTCAGCCTATTCAATTGTTTTTTTCCATTGCATTACATGTTTAAAAGTAAGCTTCTAGTAAAAATGAATGCAAAACAATACTTTTGGTGTTGTTAAGCATTCACATCCATCAAGAGCTTTGTTCTGTCTTTTGATATAGGTTACAGTGGATACATGCAAGAACAACTCTAGAATTTGAGGTACCAGGCTGAGTAATCAATTTACAAATAGTACTTTTGTGGATGGAGTTTTCCTTTAAAGCAGGAGTAAGTGACAACAATAAACTCAAAAAAAATAAAATTTCACTTTGGCTGGAGCCTGAAGTTTTAAAAAAGGGGGATAAAACAGGATACTGAGTGAATACATGTGAACACTATAACAAGGTAACATTGTGCCGAACCCTCGACAGGCCCACAGACTACCAGCATCATATACAGCATGTTAAAATGTGTTGAAGAGACTCAACTACTAACTGCACACTATATAGTTTGAATTAAAAAAGAGCCACTCAACTAAGTGGTCCATTATTCAAAATAGTTAAAGTGAATATCAAGAAGGTGGGGTAATAAGTGTGTGCATTTAACAAGCCTCACACAACTGTGCCTAAGCTTTATGAACGATAAAAAGCGGCCGAAAAAACATCATATTGTGTTTTAACAATATCTATAATAATGGTGCAATATCGCAAGATAACCGAGAAGGTAAAGCTAACTTGTGTCTAGGTAAATGTGCTGACAACAAAGCTTATCCATGTCTGAGCATTAGTGGATTCAACAGATATCCTGTGTTAGGACCAGACTCCTGTTACAAATTAACCATAAACTCAATGTTGCCCTTCAGAGAGAGTTGTTGCATATGTAGAATAAACATACGGTATGTAACACTGTTCAGCATCACTCTCTGTTGTGTTCGCTTCACACAGAATATACAATTCTGCAATAGTCATTGAACTCTGGACAGGTGACATAGAGTACAAAAATATCTAAACCTGTTCTAGTTATTCTGTAAATACAACAATATTTGAATGCCCTGAGGAACAGATATTATTCTTACCAGACACAAAAACCTCATAGATGGACACAACTTTATAAAAAAAAATACTTAGCTTTGTTTTGTTTGCAATAACAATAAGAGTTTTGAAGTTACTTTTTTGGCCGGATGTGCTGATGGTTAGGATTAATGTGGACGATAATACAGAGAGAGAAAAGGATATTTCTTCAGTATTTGTGGATGGAATGTGTGAAGTGAGCAAGCGCTGCCGCATCGCAGCAGGGAGAAATCGTTAAAGGCTGCAGTAAGCGATATCTGACCACTGGGGGGGCAGAAACAAACTCAAAGACTGTTTTACAAATCAGGTTATCTAGTTGTTATTGCTCATTTGTCAGCAAGTAACTGCTTACTTAAACATCTAGCAGACGAACAGCAACTCCTAGTTCAATTTCTCGCCCCCTGCCCCCATATAAGGTGTTTTATTTCCCCTTCTCCTGAGAGAAACAGTTGGAGCATTACTTTCTTTCCCAGTCAGGAGTTTAAAATGCCTCTCTGGTGTTTTATGGAAAGCAAGGCTTGTCTACGATTTATTTTCTGGAAATGACTGCCACCAGTTTCATACAAAGTGTTGTTGAGAGAGCCAAAACATGGAATTAAAAGCATCTAAACACTTGAGGAGCTTACATTTTAAAAGTATCGCGTAATGCAGGTTTAACTGATTCCACAACTAACCATTAACATTTCACAACAACTACAACCCTTCCCCGTCACAGTCTTTTGGCACACTATAATGATACATTTAATATCCAAGACAGAACTCTATAGTAGCCAGGAGTCAGCAGGTTTGTGAACAGATGCACCTGAAAATAAAAATCCCACTATACAGCAGATATAAGTGCCAAAACTTGCTGTGATCAGTAAAATAGAACTTAATATAACCTATTCTAGAGTATGCAGAGTACTGTGAAGAGTATAAAATACAGTATACATAAATCTTGTTCTTGTCTTATGGAAAGGTGATTGTAGCGTTTACATTTGAGCGAGCTGAAGTATGGCTCCCTGCAGACTAATACCTGTGAACACAAAGAACAAGTTTATTTCAAAAAAATGTTTTGCCAAAATGTTACCATAATGTTTTATATAGCTGCATCCTTTTGTAGAACTATACCTGTAGTAGTTGGGTTTGAAAGGGCCGTTCTTGTTCAGGCCCAGGTATTTTGCCTGATCATCAGAAAGCTCCGTCAGGTGAGCATCAAAAGTGGTCAGATGCAGACTGGCCACGTACTCATCTGAAACATACAGACACGGTTTAGTAAGAAAGAGGGATACAAGCACGATCACATGGTGTCATCTAAAAAATGCAGGGCGGATTAAAAATAAATAAGTCCAGTGCTACAGCCCAGCAATGATTAATGTTGAGTGTAAACTGTGAATACTTTAAAAACTGCACGTCAAGGTTAAGTATTAAGTTACACTTACCCATCTTCTTGGGGAGCAAGTAAACATCCTGCTTGTATCGTCCCTCAGGAGCGTTGTACAACTCTATAAGGGCCAGGGCCTGAACACAAACATGGATGAGTAATACATTTGAAAATGGATGCACTGTAAATTGACTGAAGATCAATACATGTATCTATGATCCTGTGAGAGGATGGAAGCAATAACCACTGTGTCTTTATCAGCTGTATAGCTTGTTGGTCTGGTAGTATCAACATGTTACCTGAGTGGTGGCTGTGATGGACAACACAAAGGTGGGGACAGTGGAGCAGCTCAGGTTAAGGAGACGTCCCTGATGGAGAAACAACACACGCTTTAAAAAGCAGTCATGCATTAATATGGCTGTTCCAACATAATAATGTTTTTTCTCAGTACCATTAAACTGATTACAAATATGTTTAATAAATAGTGGATCTGTGTACACCATATTGTGTTTCAGCTACTAAATGAAGCTAACAAAGAAAGTTAAGAAAAAAAGTTTTAAAAGTTATTTTTCTTAAATCTCTATCTCTAAACATTTGGCAGCCATTTCGTTCCAGTGTTTGTTGAATTCCAACACAGCAAAATGTTGTCATTAGTTTATAGAATAAAATTAAAATAAAAAGTTAATTTTACTCGGAAAACCAGAGAAACTGATAATGCTGCATTGGTCTCTTCATTTTCTCCGGAGCTGTATATAGGTAGAAAGTGCAGCTACACTCTCGTGACAGTCTTCAACGCTGCACGCAAATGTGGAAGAGCCAGAAACACTGACCAATCAGAGCAGACCAAGCTATTCAGAAAGGAGGCTTAAAGACACAGGCCTTTAATCGGTACATTCCAGACGGATAGAAAGTGAAAAATAATGTGTTTTTAAACAGTTAAGTATGTGAACAAGAAACAGAAGTGACAAATCATCACATGTTCAAAATCTGTAATCAAGCATAACATTTGTTTGCAAGGCGAACCAGTTACCTCAGCCAGAAGGATGACCCTCTTGCCATCGGGCCAGATGACATGATCCACCTGAGAGCGCACCCTCTCCCAGGTCAGCTCGGGGGTCCGGAGACTCGCCTGCAAGAGGAGAGGAGATCAGCCCTGATATCTAAGGACACTGCGGGTGGATCCACACTGTTTCATTATGTATTAACCCATTGTGGAGGACACATTTTAACTTTGAATTCTTCTATTTTTAGAAGCTAGTTTACCACATCAATCTCAGTGTTGGAGTGGCCCATGTTGCAGACAATAGAGCCGTTTTTCATTCGGTCCAGCTGGTCTCTGGTCACCACATTCTTGTTCCCTAAAGAAAGACACAATCATGAACCTTGAATCAATTTACATCGTCTGACACACAGAGACCTTAATCTGGTTTCTGTCCCGACACAGACTAACTGTAAGAGCATTTCCAATAAAAGCTGAACATGCAAAACCGACGCGGCACATTAGCATGCGGCAGGGAGAAAGCAGCTTAAGGAACAGTGCAAAGAACAATCAACAAAAAGGCATTTATAGATTAAAAAGCTAAGAGAAAATATAATCCCACATCCGTGCATCCCAATGAGTAAATCTGCATTGTTTAAATTGGAGTTACCAGTGCAAGTGATGATGACATCAACCTGACGAATGACCTCATTCAGCTTCACCACCCTGAACCCGTCCATGCTGTGAAAGGAAGAAGGGGTTCAGCATTCAGCCTCAGGGAGAAAACTCTCCCTGAGGCCTGTTATATAATTGTTATATAATGAACAGAACACAGTTGGCTGGCTGTGCTTGTTCACCCATACTGCTGTCTGTCCTTTTTACATATCTTTGACATTCAACACATCTTGGATCATCATCCCACTTGTTGTTTTCCTCACCAGGCCTGCAGGGCACAGATGGGATCGATCTCCGTGATGCTGACGACGGATCCCAGAGCCTTCAGGGCGGCACAGCAACCTTTTCCAACCTGCAAACATAACATTGAATTACTGTATCACCAGCAGAGATACACATGCCAGTAATTACCCTGACCTTTATAAAGTAATTGAACCTTTCAGTATTTAAACACAAGCCCTGAAACTTAAAATCCAAATGTCGGATGACTAAAATCCTCCCTTCGGTTAAAATGTATATGTAAAGATAACTGAGATGCTAAAAATGTACCGATAAAATGTGGCTTTAGTGGATTATGACAGCTTCTGGCAGACACTGAGAAATGTTCAAAAGATTCAACGCCATTTCAGGCGACCTTACATTGAATGGGCTAGACCTAGTCGTTATTAGAATTTGAATGCAGAAATGTTGCATTTTAGACCTTTAACGTCATCTAGAGTAAATCATACTGTGAAAGATATCCAATGAATTGTGGTGACAGCTGTGTGTGTTCTGAGTACAGCATGTGTTTGTGCGATCATGATGAATGTGTTCCCAGCTACATCATTAAGATCATTGTGGCATGTTAACGTTGGTATAAGTATCTCACCTCACCGTACCCGCATATGACCACCTGTTTGCCTCCGAACATGACATCTGTGGTTCTCTTCAGGCTAGAGACATTTGAAACATAACATTAGCATTCTCCTGTGGAAGTGAGAAACTGCCAATCTGTATCCGTAGGACTCAAAAATCTGTAATCTATCTACGGATATAGAATAAACGTTCTGCATCATTATAGCTTTCTACAGTTTTAGATAACATGTCTGCGTGATAACAAGCTCAAACAAGTCGTAACTATATTCCTAAAATATCCCGGTGCGATACATCTGAAGGTCTCATGATGATGCTGACATTTCGTATCATAACTCATATTGGAACACCTGTTACAAGATATTAACCTTTATCTCGTACCTTGCAGATTATTAATCAGAAGGGACAGCAATAAATGATGAGCGGTGAGTGTAGGAAGCACTGACCCGATACGCAGACGAGCAGACGTTGTTAAAGATTAGTAGACTATTTCTATTCTGCCATGGAAATCATTCACAGGCGGGTATCAGCGCACTAGTTTTCTTCCCAGAGGTTTTTTTCTTAGGTTTAGGCGGCGAAAGAGCTTAACAAGGGCAACCGGTTTTTTAAAAGCTACAGAGATGTGACATTGACTGTTATGAACCGGCTGTCTGATGGCAGCCATTTTGCTGAACCAATGTTTTCCATTGTCTATTTTAAACCATTATCTCATACGTTTTTTGGAAGGGTATACGTTAGATATTTTAATTTCAAACCATACTTGTTCATTTCTACTTATAAACACATTTTACTGAGCCTATTTCACAAATGCATTATAGTTCCCTCACCCGTCCAGGATTGACTCTCTGCAGCAGTACAGGTTGTCGAACTTCTGCTTGGTCACAGAGTCGTTCACATTCATAGCGGGGACACACAGCTTTCCAGCTTTAGACAGCTGATACAACCTGGAGAGAGGCAGAGGAAGGCAGAGAGCTTTCACATCATGTTGGTGCATGTCGCTGTGTTGCACTTACTATTTTATAGGAAGCCTATTAAGCAGTAAATCACCTGTGAACCCCAGTGACACTCTCCTCTACAATGCCCCTGATCTTCTTGAATACGTTGGGGTACTTCTTGTACATCCAGTGTGTCAGGTCTCCTCCATCATCAAGGATCTAAGAGTTATGACACAGTACATTATTATGAGACAAATATTGACATAAAAAGAGCTACTTATTGAAATAACTCAAAAAGAATGGCTGGCTCTCTGTAATTATTGTACGTCTATGTGAGGCATTTGTTTGTCTAAAGCATTCACGGCGTGTTGTTGTCTCCTCATTAAAAGGTAGAAAAACAAACGTTTCCACGCACCATGTTAGGCTGCCAACCCTCATTGTTGACACAGCGGTCAATGCACCACCAGAAATCATCCTCAGACTCCCCTTTCCAGGCAAACACAGCCACACCTGAAACACAATTTACATAAACAAACCGTATTTGTCAACAAGCAGCAATCACAGAAACAGTTCCTAAATCTGGACGTATGCTAGTGAATCAGGGCAATGTTATAAGCACTGTGACCAGTGGCGAACCGTCAGAGCCTTCAAGGTATTCAGAGAATACCCTGGAACTCTCAGATAAAACAAACAAAAAATCGATTTAATTATATAAATAAAATGTATATAAAATGAATAAATGAGAATCGTATCTGTGTTGTTGATCTGTAATGTTACAGTGTTACGTTGATTTGTTTGTCCTTCTCGGACCATGCACTACGCATTTCAGTGGTTTTGTGTTAGAAAAGAAAGCAACCAATCAGATCTTGTTCTGGGTCTCTGGGTAGGATATCCTTCAACCAAGGTATTCTACATCCTTGATCGAATGACCTGGCCATTGTACTGAATGAGAGCGTACGTTTGGATTGACAGTTTGATCAACCAATCATAAATAAATCAATCTAGCCAATGGGCGTATTCTTTCAGTTTCCCTCGGTTCCAGGGTACTCTAGAACAGGGGTTCCCAATCTTTTTCCCAAGAGCCCCCCCAAATGACTCCTGTTGGAAGTTGTGGGGGGGGGGGGCGGCGCAACAGCAGTAATTAAAGTTTAAAAGTCTCAAAATGCTGCAACTTCTGTCACAAACTGGACGAATGGGGATGAACTGGATTTTGTTAAAGGAGGAAGAAAGCGTAATTAAGGAGCACTATTGGAGTGACTTTGATGGTTATTGGACTCAGGATTCATTCATTTGTATGCCCGCTGTATGAAGAAATTAAAGGACGG